GTTCACTGCAACTCTATTCACAATAGTTAGGAAATGGAATCATCTTAGATGTCTATCAAATGATGGATGCATAATGAAAATGTGGTAATACACACAATTGTTCAATTAAAAAAAATTTTCCCCTTTTTTTATCTTTTTTGACTCTACCAAAAAGCAACTTAGAGGGACAAGGTGTTTATTCTGCTTACAATTCCAGGACACAGTTAACCACTGAGGGGAAGTCAAGGCAGGAACTTGAAGCAGGGCACATCAAATCCATAGTCAAGAGCAGACAGCAACAAATGCATGCATGCTGATTATTTGCTGGTGCTCAGTTGCTCAGCTTGATTTTTCCACTCTTACATAGATGAGGACCCCCTGCTTAGGGAATAGTAGTACCCACAGTGGACTGGGTCTTTAACCATCAATGATCTTAAGAGACTGCCCCCATGGCATGGGCACAGGCCAACCCAATGTAGACTATTACTGTTCTCCCCCAGAGCCAGCCAGAGGGGGACACAGGGTGCCTGCCGATATGGGGGTGAAAGGCACAGCGTCACGACACAAACACCAGGTTGAGCAAGCAGAGGGCGAGCTGCTGCAGACTCGTTTATTCCTGGAAGCATTTGGGGTCATAAGGGGTTGGCTAGCCAATCATGGTTTCCCATGCCGTCCTATGCTATCCAATGGCAGTCTGTCTCTGGGCAGATCATCTCTCAGCAGGTTGTCATTGGCATATATGCGGAAGCCCTTTCCCCATTCCTTATGTCAAGCGGCCTGAGCTGGTTCTTTATTATGCCATACAGTAGAAAATCTCTCATTGAGACTCTCTTCCCAGGCAATTCTAGGTTGTGTCAAGTTGACAATTTAAGCTATCAGAACAATGTAATTTTATTCAGCTCTAATGAAAAATAAAATTAGAAATTTATAGGAAAATGGAACTAGAAAATGTTATACTAAGTGAGGTAACCCAAGCCCAGAAAGATAAACACTGACTATTCTTTCTCTTATGTGGATCCTAACTTTCAAGTTTTAGATTGGTATGTTTAATTTGGAGTGCCTATAGAAATCAAGCTACAAATTGCACATAATGGGGGTGGGGGAGGGGAAGAGACTTTTAATGGGGAGGGGACAGTAGAATATATGTGATATTAAAGTATGGGGGACATTATTGGGGGTTAAAGGCTTTGGTGGGGATAGCAATGAGGGGATGGGTTGATGTTCAGTGGGAGGTAGATTAACCAAAACTAAGGATGTCAAAAAGCGTCTTATGGAAACCCACTACTTTGTGAGCTAAGTAAAATACACATTTTTTAAAGGAATAGAGGTACCTTGCATGGATGAATGACATTCCTCCCAGAA